TTCGGTATTAAAAGCCGTAATTTTAAACTCCAAATATGTACAATCACCTTGAACTCCGCTCAAAAATAACCCTCAAGAGTCATATTTTCGATAGGCATCGTATTTTGAACATTCCAGGACAATTTGGGCAATATATGACCAATCGTATTTGTCATATTTAAAGTTGTTTAGCTTAGCGCCGGCCATCATAAGAGGGTATTGGGTCACGCCCATGTGTACGGCGCCTAACTGGCGTCCAACACGTTGATCCTTAGCCTTCGGTGCCGAGTCATTCTCACACTGTTTAGCTACACCTTTCCGAGTCCTTGTGTATGTTTTCCAATCTATTTTTATATGTGTTTTGGCTTCACTTCTTGTTTCGTGATCCTGTTCCAAGCTCTTTTTTTTTTTTTTACTTTTCATTGTGTCGCCTCCAAGCTCTTCTTGTCAGACGCTGGGCACAACCTGTTCCGGCCTTCTTTATCTCTCAAGGGTGATGGTGTCAGGTTTATTGGGTTGGTATTGTGATCCTTTTCCTGATCCCTTCCCAGTGTTATATAGTGGCAGTGGCTTAGCGCTTTCTCCTGACAATTCCATTCCATTGTTGTTGTTGTTGTTTTAGATTCAGCTACTGGGAGCAAAAAGTTGCAAGTAGCACGGGCTATGGTGAACCCCGTAGTGGACTTACCTGGCACAGGAGCGGGGGCTGTAACTTGGCTGCCACACACACAGCGTTATAGGTTACTGTTCCACTCTCCACTTAGGAGCCGGTCGGCCGAGCGGACAGCACACTAGACTTGTGATCCTGTGGTCCCGGATTCGATCCCAGGCGCCGGCGAGAAACAATGGGCAGAGTTTCTTTCACCCCTATGCCCCTTGTCACCTAGCAGTAAAATAGGTACCTGGGGTGTTAGTCAGCTGTCACGGGCTGCTTCCTGGGGGTGGAGGCCTGGTAGAGGACCGGGCCGCAGGGACACTAAAGCCCCGAAATCATCTCAAGATAACCTCAAGATATGGTATTTTTGTTTTATTTGTTTAAGTCACAATACACACACACACACACCGTTATAGGTTAGTCCTCCACTCCCCCCCCCCCCACCTTCCTCTCGCCTCACCCCTCATTACCATGTGATGATCGGTGCCTCGAGTGTCAAATTTGTTGTGTTTGTCTGACTTGTGTGAGGGACATCATTAGCGTCCCCGGTGTTTAAGGACTTGTTATTGTGTGTTGGGGAAGCTGGCAGCCTGGGGTAGGGGGGAGAGGGGGGGGTGGGCGAGTGGGTACAGGTGTGGGTTCAGGTGTGAGTACAGGTGTAGGAGACTGCAGGGGGGGTGGGGAGAGAGTTGACTACATACGGGATATGTGGTCAACTATTTCATCTAGTCGAGGTTTAGGTGAACCAATGTAGGCGTGAGGCAGGGTACCCCCAGGCTGTACCACAGGGGTGAGGCAGGGTACCCCCACGCTGTACCACAGGGGTGAGGCAGGGTACCCCCACGCTGTACCACAGGGGTGAGGCAGGGTACCCCCACGCTGTACCACAGGGGTGAGGCAGGGTACCCCCACGCTGTACCACAGGGGTGAAGCAGGGTACCCCACGCTGTACCACAGGGGTGAAGCAGGGTACCCCATGCTGTACCACAGGGGTGAAGCAGGGTACTTGTACTCTTAAAATTTAATTAGATTCTGATAATCGTCGTTAACACATTTCCTAAACTTTAAAGTGTCCTTAAACTGTTATATTATTTCTCAATGCCATATTTGCGTATCTCAGAGAGTGTGCGTTCATTAGTGCCTGTGTCTCTCTCTTCCCCCCACGACGCCTCAGAGGGCTGGCGGACATGGAGCTGAGTGTGGAGCAGCTGCTGAACGTCTCCAGGGACCTGGCCCACAACGCCGTCACCCATGCGTGAGTTCTCGAGTCCCTTGAGCTCCTTGAGCCCTGCCTGTTGTGTGTGTGTGTGTGTGTGTGTGTGTGTGTGTGTGTGTGTGTGTGTGTGTGTGTGTGTGTGTGTGTGTGTGTGTACGCCCGCACGCTCCCGCGCGTCCTTCCGTCCGACCGAACCCCCCACCCCCCTCCAATCTTCCTGGCCCCCCACTTCAGATAACATTACCAATAGTGTTGCAGAGTTTGAGATAGCAAGTTCCTACCAGCAGCAGCAGCAGCACAAGTTAGAACGCCATGATTGGCAATCTATGGAGGCCCGGCGACCCCCCCCCCCAGTGTGTGAATGAGGGCGGGGGTCAACCAGCTGGCTATTGACTCATTCATGAGTCGCGTCATTCACTCATGAGTTCGTGTGTTGCATCATTACCCAGGTGTCGCGTTATTACCTATGTGTTGCGTCTCCCACTCGGCAAGTTCTCTTCCCACTTAATAAATAAACTTTCTAACTTTATAAATAAACTTAATAAATAAACTAAACTCTTCCCACTTTCCAATAAATCACAAAGATAGAGAGTCGTGTTGACTTCTGTGTTTTGTGGCGTCGTTCCATCTGCGTCCACTGCAACATTCTTGCGTCATGTGAGGACGCAACATTCTTGTGTCATGTGAGGACGCAACATTCTTGCTTCATGTGAGGACGCAACATTCTTGCGTCATGTGAGGACGCAACATTCTTGCGTCATGTGAGGACGCAACATTCTTGCGTCATATGAGGACGCAACATTCTTGCGTCATGTGAGGACGCAACATTCTTGCTTAATGTGAGGACGCAACATTCTTGCGTCATGTGAGGACGCAACATTTTTGCGTCATGTGAGGACGCAACATTCTTGCGTCATGTGAGGACGCAACATTCTTGCGTCATGTGAGGACGCTACATTCTTGCGTCATGTGAGGACGCAACATTCTTGCGTCATCACTTTTGTGTTCTATGCATCACTCTTGCTTTCATGTGCGTGTTTTGCGTCACTGTTTTTTTTTTTATAATTTTGTTTTTTTCCCGTCATCCTTCCTACCACTGTCACCTTGGTTCCTTCCTACCACTGTCACCTTGGTTCCTTCCTACCACTGTCACCTTGGTTCCTTCCTACCACTGTCACCTTGGTTCCTTCCTACCACTGTCACCTTGGTTCCTTCCTACCACTGTCACCTTGGTTCCTTCCTACCACTGTCACCTTGGTTCCTTCCTACCACTGTCACCTTGGTTCCTTCCTACCACTGTCACCTTGGTTCCTTCCTACCACTGTCACCTTGGTTCCTTCCTACCACTGTCACCTTGGTTCCTTCCTACCACTGTCACCTTGGTTCCTTCCTACCACTGTCACCTTGGTTCTTCTTTCTGGCTCTTATCGTGGCTCCTCTTCGCTCCTTTCGCTTCCTCTTAATTGCTCCTCTATTATGTTCCTTCCTTCCTTCCTTCCTTCCTTCCTTCCTTCCTTCCTTCCTTCCTTCCTTCCTTCCTTCCTTCCTTCCTGTTTCTTAATTTCATTCTTGCTCAATCGTCCACCTTGTCTTAATTTTCTTCCAGCTTTATTTTTTCTCGCTGTTTCTTCCTCTTAAATCCCTCTTCCTTTTTCAACCTTCGCGTTTCTTCTTCATCTCTCATCCTTGCTCTTCGTCACTTTGTTAATATTCCTTCTTCTTGTTCCTCTTTCGTCACACTTTCTTCTGGTTCCTCTTCTTGTTGCTTGCTCTTAGTCGTAATGGCTTGGCGCTTTCTCCTGATAATTCCATTCTATTCTTTCCCCCCTTTGCGTTCTTCACTTCACATTGTTTCCTATTTCGTGTTTCGTACCGCGTCTTCGTACTTCAGTTTCCTCTTTATTGTCTCATCTCTCTCGTCCGCTTTATTCTGCTTCGTCTTCAGCCCTCGTCTCTGTCTTCTTGTTCCTCTCTTACCCTTCCATTCACCCAACACGAAGGTGACAAGTGTACGAGGAGGCCCAACCCTTCCGTTCCCACCACCAGTCTCTCCTTGTTGATGAACGATGACTGATCTTGTAAGACGCTAGACGAATGACCCTCTCGGGAGACGTTCAGCGGAAGGCCCTCTCAGACGACGTGTGACGGAAGGCCCTCTCAGACGACGTGTGACGGAAGGCCCTCTCAGACGACGTGTGACGGAAGGCCCTCCCAGACGACATGTGACGGAAGGCCCTCCCCGACGACGTGTGCCGGAAGGCCTTTCTGAACAAAGTTCGACGGATACCCCATCCTTTACGACGTGCGACAAACGGACCATCTCGTATCCCTCTGGACGAATATCCTTCACGCACGACTCGTCCCCCACTTGCCCTACTAACTCTCTGTCTCTGGTCCCCTGCAGGCACTTCAAGAGGTTCCGATACTGTGGGTACTTTCCTCGCGTGCCCAACTGCTCGCCCAAGACGGACGGTAAGTATTCCCTGGCCTCCCTCATGAGGTCATCCTCCATCCCTTCTGTAGCCCCAGACGCCTTCTGTAGCCCCAGACGCCTGCTGTAGCCCCAGACGCCTGCTGTAGCCCCAGACGCCTTCTGTAGCCCCAGACGCCTTCTGTAGCCCCAGACGCCTGCTGTAGCCCCAGACGCCTTCTGTAGCCCCAGACGCCTTCTGTAGCCCCAGACGCCTGCTGTAGCCCCAGACGCCTTCTGTAGCCCCAGACGCCTTCTGTAGCCCCAGACGCCTGCTGTAGCCCCAGACGCCTGCTGTAGCCCCAGACGCCTTCTGTAGCCCCAGACGCCTTCTGTAGCCCCAGACGCCTGCTGTAGCCCCAGACGCCTTCTGTAGCCCCAGACGCCTTCTGTAGCCCCAGACGCCTTCTGTAGCCCCAGACGCCTTCTGTAGCCCCAGACGCCTTCTGTAGCCCCAGACGCCTTCTGTAGCCCCAGACGCCTTCTGTAGCCCCAGACGCCTTCTGTAGCCCCAGACGCCTGCTGTAGCCCCAGACGCCTTCTGTAGCCCCAGACGCCTTCTGTATCCTGAGACGCCTGCTCAAGTTGCTTTTGCAGCTGTTGTTTTAAGTTCCCACAACTTCTGCCAACTTTTAAGTTTGGTATAATATCAACCGCTAGATCCCTTTTTTTATCTCTCCAACTCCAGGAAGAGTTTTTCTACAATTAAGTGCCTGATGCCCTGCCTTCCAGTCCCAACATTTATCATCCTTATATTTTAGTCACTGCAGTAAAAGTCGAACAACAACGTATTAACCTATTCTTTCTTTGTGTGTCAAAGCCTCAGAGTCTCTCTCTTGCAGTGTTCCACTCATGTGTATCGTCCTCCTCGTAGGTATTACACCACCAGGCAAATTGCACTGGAAGGTGTCCATTCTCTCTCTGGCAGAGTATGCCCATGAATGCCAGGTACGAGAGGTCTAAATACTGACCCAGTATGGGACTCAGTAAGGTGTCGCTGACCAGAGGGATTCTCTCACCGTGACTACTTTCTCTAAGTTGTTAATGTACTTCCTCATCTACTGTAGCCTCTCCCTGTCACTCCCGCCAGTTTCTTAAAGCTCTGCACTAGTCTCATATATATATATATATATATATATATATATATATATATATATATATATATATATATATATATATATATATATATATATATATATATATATATATATATATTGCATTAGCCTTTTCTAAAATGTCTAAAAATATATCCAGTCTATGAATCCTTTGCTGTCATGTCCTATCTTTTGTAAGCTCGCTCATAGAACTCTTATCAGTTTTCCGCTCTTTAATCCATGGAGGTGTTGTTATAAAGACACTTCAGTCAAGCTATTCCTCTTGCCTTTTTCTTATAGTCTTTTTCTATTAGCTTGTAGTATAGCGCCTCATGAGGGTCTCCAGTGTTGTAGATCAGCGTCACATTGGCCGACTTCAAAATTTCTGGTCGTTCTCCTGTCTCCAGTGACGTTATATATTAACAGTAATTGGTCAGCGCAGTCCTCCAGCTTCTTGTCTTAGTATCCATTGTGAGAAGATACGTCTAATCTTACTCTCTCACTGTTGGTCAGCATAGGTCAGTGTTAGCCTGTGTTGGTCTGTGAGGATCAGTGCTGGCCTGCATGGGTCGGTGTCGCTTTTGACTAAAAAATATACTTACTGTTATTTCCGGTTTAGAGGCAAATATCTTAAAAATAGTTAGAAACTTTTCAAATTGAAATTGTTTTGGTATATTTACACCTCAACATATATGTTATATATCCTGTTTTTTGTTTCTACATATTCATCCTTCTACTGGAGCTATTTCATAATATTGGAATGGAGAAAATAAACAAAAAACTGGAGAACTTACAATAACGTGGTTGTCTGAGGTAGCGATCGTGCGAGGCATGAGGTCCTGAGGCACAGAGACTCAGTTTGTCATCTCTCTTTCCTGTCTTCCCTCCCCTCCCTCACTTATCTCTATCCCTCACTCACTTATCTCTATCCCTCCCTCACTTATCTCCATCCCTAATATTCTCATCCCCCCATCCCTCCTAGCCTACAATCCCAGAGTCCACCCCACGCTCGACAAATTGAAGAGGAGTCTAATCTTTCCACACCTACCCTCTAGAACTCGAGGCTCCACCTTCAAAGGTCTAAGGAGGGTCTCCCTAGAACCCGTCTAGATCATTCGTCGCTGATCACCTAGAATGTACGTGTGAGCAGGTAACAATGCACCTGGTGAGCGTGGGGAGTGTGCGCGCCTGGTGCCTCAGTCACCAGGAGCTGTGTGATAGTGAATACCGGCATTATCCTCACTCTAATCAGATCTAATTGAATTCCTTAGATTAGGTAAAATTTTAATAAATTTTTATCAGTAAAGATGTTAATAACAGGAGCACCTCTGGCACTCGCAAGAATCTCAATTTCACACCTCGTAGCTCTGAATATATGAGTATGTGTATGTGTTTATATATATATATATATATATATATATATATATATATATATATATATATATATATATATATATATATATATATATATATATACAACAGGCGCCGCTGTTGCAACACGGCGCCTGGCAGCGCTGCCTGTTGCCACACGGCGCCTGGCAGCGCTGCTTGTTGCCACACGGCGCCTGGCAGCGCTGCCTGTTGCCACACGGCGCCTGGCAGCGCTGCCTGTTGCAACACAGCGCCTGGCAGTGCTGCCTGTTGCCACACGGCGCCTGGCAGCGCTGCCTGTTGCAACACGGCGCCTGGCAGAGCTGCCTGTTGCAACACGGCGCCTGGCAGCGCTGCCTGTTGCAACACGGCGCCTGGCAGTGCTGCCTGTTGCCACACGGCGCCTGGCAACGCTGCCTGTTGCAACACGGCGCCTGGCAACGCTGCCTGTTGCAACACGGCGCCTGGCAGCGCTGCCTGTTGCAACACGGCGCCTGGCAGAGCTGCCTGTTGCAACACGGCGCCTGGCAGCGCTGCCTGTTGCAACACGGCGCCTGGCAGTGCTGCCTGTTGCCACACGGCGCCTGGCAACGCTACCTGTTGCAACACAGCGCCTGGCAACGCTGCCTGTTGCAACACGGCGCCTGGCAGTGCTGCCTGTTGCAACACGGCGCCTGGCAACGCTGCCTGTTGCAACACGGCGCCTGGCAACGCTGCCTGTTGCAACACGGCGCCTGGCAGTGTTGCCTGTTGCAACACGGCGCCTGGCAACGCTGCCTGTTGCATCACGTTGTCATATAGGTTTTAACATTTTTACCCTCAGCCCGATTTTATTTAAACCAAAAACCAGGTAGATGTGGAGTAAGGCGAGGGCATGAGGGAGAGAGAGAGAGAGAGAGAGAGAGAGAGAGAGAGAGAGAGAGAGAGAGAGAGAGAGAGAGAGAGAGAGAGGGGGGGGGACTCGGAGGGAAGCAATGACAGAAAGAAACGGAGAAATTTTGAAGAAATAGGTAACCAGAAATTTTTCGAGGGAAGGGAAGCCAGCTCGTCCCACGAGAGGTAAAACTCACAATCTTGTTTTCCAAATGTTCCATCCCTCAACTTGGTATTCATAGAGCGAGCGTCGCCCAGCCCCTCAACTCTGTTCCCTCCCCTTCTCGCCCCCCCCCCACCCGGCCGAGGAGTTAGCACCCCCCCCCCTCCCAACAAACCACAGGAAGGAGCCTTAAACCACAATGTACCGAACAAATTCACAAGGGCCGCGATGAGGGTTCGAACCTACGTCCGAACATCGCTCATTGAGAGATGGTCACACTTGATACTGTTCCAAACTGTCAAAGGTGATACATTACCTCTGGGCCCCTCACACTGCAGCACCTGCCTATGTGTCCTCCATGCCTCGCGGACACATGCAGCTGGGTCGGCAGCAGTGTGTGTGTGTGTGTCCGAGAGATGCTGAGCTGTGTCTTTCATTACACCTGTCATCTGAGCGTAGCAACGGCTTCGCCTCGTCAAATGTGAATGTGTGTGTACTCACCAATTTGTACTCAGCATCGGCGCCCCATCGCGGGCACCTATCTACTGCTAGGTGAACAGGCTCATCAGGAGAAAAAAACTGGATAGTTGTTTTTGCCTCGGCCGGGAAATCGAACAACAAATACATCTTTGTAAACTGAGCACCAAGAGTAAGAGAGCATGTTGGGCAGAGTGGTGTACCCACAGCCACTGTACCAGCTGTGCCCTGTGGCCAGCTGCTGTTGTTGTTGTTGTTTTAGATTTAGCTAATCAGAACGAAATGTCCATGTAGCACAGTCTATGGTGAGCCCGTAATTGAGTTCGGTTATTCTCGATAACCTTGTTACTGCGATATTAGCTCATTCTCCAGCTCATATAGTCTCTCCTGACTGGAATTTCTCAAAGCTATGAAAACCCATAAGAGGGAAAATTTTGAGAGAAGTCGTAAAGGGGATGATGAGACAAAGACCCTTCAGTGCGTCCCCAGCCTGGCGGTGTCCCTGGGGGGGGGGACCACAGGACCACCAGCTGGGGGACCACAAGACCACCAGCTGGGGGACCACAGGACCACCAGCTGGGGGACCACAAGACCACCAGCTGGGGGACCACAGGACCACCAGCTGGGGGACCACAAGACCACCAGCTGGGGGACCACACGACCACCAGCTGGGGGACCACAAGACCACCAGCTGGGGGACCACAAGACCACCAGCTGGGGGACCACAAGATCACCAGCTGGGGGACCACAAGATCACCAGCTGGGGGACCACAAGACCACCAGCTGGGGGACCACAGGACCACCAGCTGGGGGACCACAAGACCACCAGCTGGGGGACCACAGGACCACCAGCTGGACCACAAGACCACCAGCTGGGGGACCACAGGACCACCAGCTGGGGGACCACAGGACCACCAGCTGGGGGACCACAGGACCACCAGCTGGGGGACCACAAGACCACCAGCTGGGGGACACAAGACCACCAGCTGGGGGACCACAAGACCACCAGCTGGGGGACCACAGGACCACCAGCTGGGGGACCACAAGACCACCAGCTGGGGGACCACAAGACCACCAGCTGGGGGACCACAGGACCACCAGCTGGACCACAAGACCACCAGCTGGGGGACCACAAGACCACCAGCTGGGGGACCACAAGACCACCAGCTGGGGGACCACAGGACCACCAGCTGGGGGACCACAGGACCACCAGCTGGGGGACCACAGGACCACCAGCTGGGGGACCACAGGACCACCAGCTGGGGGACCACAGGACCACCAGCTGGGGGACCACAGGACCACCAGCTGGGGGACCACAGGACCACCAGCTGGGGGACCACAGGACCACCAGCTGGGGGACCACAGGACCACCAGCTGGGGGACCACAGGACCACCAGCTGGGGGACCACAAGACCACCAGCTGGGGGACCACAAGACCACCAGCTGGGGGACACAAGACCACCAGCTGGGGGACCACAGGACCACCAGCTGGGGGACCACAAGACCACCAGCTGGGGGACACAGGACCACCAGCTGGGGGACCACAAGACCACCAGCTGGGTGAAGACAACCAACCAAGCAGTAGTTATAGCGTGACATGACTTTGCTTCCTATGCAACAACTCTGTAAGGTACAAGGTCGCCTGCATACTCTCACGCAGAGCATATTTACCATTCGCTGTTTATACGGCAATCACTCCTACGGGCTCACCCTAGCCCGTGCTATTTGGAACTTGTTCCAAGTAGCGAATCTTAAACAACAACAACAACAGGCAATCACTTAATTACCCCCGTTATCTAACTCGACTTGTTAGTGGATATCCTTGTCCTCCCTCCCTCATGTTTCCTATCCACCCACATGCTCCCCACGGAGTGTTCACTCTCCCTCTTTCAACTAACCACAACTAGCCACCCAAAACTACCTCCTTGCTAGCCACCTAACCTGTGAGGACCCACCGTGGACAGGGGTGTCGTCGTTCGAGCACCTGCTGGTGAGGCTGGAGCTGCGTGTGACGGTGTGGCTGGTGGCGGCGGCCACACTAGTGGGCAACCTGACGGTGCTGGGCGGCCGGGGCCTCTCCCGCGACGACAACAAGGTCCTCTCCCTCTTCATCCGTAACCTGGCAGGTCAGTATGGCGCTCAGCAGCTCAGTAACCCTCAGCAGGTTAGTGTAGGTAAGGGGAGGCGCTCTCTCTGGCACTCGGCAGGTTAGTGTAGGTCAGTGGCACACTCTGGCAATCAGCAGGTCAGTAACCCTCAACAGGTTAGTGTAGGTTAGTGGCATCATCTGGCACTCGGCACGTTAGAATAGGTCAGTGGCACTATCTGGCATTCAACAGGTCCAAAAGACAAAATGTGCCAGTGCAAGCCAGTGGCACCCTCTGCATCACTTGTATTCAACAGGTGCCAACAGTTCCCTCCCCCCTCCCCTCCCCACCATGGCTGACATCCTGACCCTCCTCTACTAACATTGTATCGTCCTGACTACTGCTGACCTCTTGACCCCCCCTCCCCCTCTGCTAATATTCTCTCTCCTCCCCCCCAGTGGCCGACCTCCTGACGGGCTTCTACCTGGTGGTGGTAGCCGTGAAGGACCTGCAGTTCCGCTCAGAGTACCACGTCCACGCCTACTACTGGATGACCTCCTGGGAGTGCACTATCACCGGCGTCCTCGCCATGACCTCCGCTGAGGTCAGTTGACGTCACATGTGAGGTCACACTCGTATTCACCTAGATGTGCTTGTGGGGGTTTGTTGAGCTTTTGGCTCTACGGTCGTGTAGGTCAGTGTCTGACGTGAGTCACACACACGCTCATGTTGTTAAGTCACCTCAGTGTCACCTCAGTGTCAGGTCAGGTCAAGAGACACGTCAGGTCTCAGTGTCACCTCAGTGTCAGGTCAGGTCAAGAGACACGTCAGGTCTCAGTGTCACCTCAGTGTCACGTCAGGTCACGTCAAGAGACGCTGGACGTGTCTGTGTGTGAGAACTCTTGGAAGATTCCAAAAATATATATCAGAAAGTCATTCAATGTCTCAAAGGGACATTTACAGTCACCACAACTCGACACAAACTGTGACCAGACACTTGGGTGGTGGTCAGGAGTGCTTTGTAACTGTCACCGTCACGTCACAGTAACTGTCACCGTCACGTCACAGTAACTGTCACCGTCACGTCACAGTAACTGTCACCGTCACGTCACAGTAACTGTCACCGTCACGTCACAGTAACTGTCACCGTCACGTCACAGTAACTGTCACACTTCCCCGTCTGGTGACTTCAGGTAAACTACACAGTTAACCAGGTCATGGTCACTTTGTGTTCCAGGTAACCCCCCCCCACCCCCGAACACCTGTATTGACCTTAGGGCTAAATGACCTTTGGTACCATTTAAGTTTTACACGAATCAAATACTTGGATCACGGATGTATTGATCCAACTTGTTCTCTTACAAATTACGTCTGAATTTGGCTGTTGTGGTCGCGAAAATGGACGTCATTTGAAAATAAAAAAAAAATTGAAAATAAATTTTGGATTTTTTTTTCTACAACAGTAAGTTAAGGGTCCTCTGGTAGGTTAGGAGGACAGGAAGTTCTTCTAAAGTTTCAAAACGTCATGGAAAACCTTTAATTGAAAGTTTCCTCTCCTGAACCTAACCGAGTAAGCCGGAGGACTCAAACAGAAAACGGGACAGTACGTCAGTTTTGTGAGCCGATTTCATTTCAAATTTCGTCCATTTTTGGGCATAGCGCGGGTGTACCAGCGAAGAGCGATGTTATTTTTTAAGAGCACGGGTTGCAACCATTATTCATCCCGAAAGTCATCTTTCTTACCTTAATATTGTACTGCTTAACTTGTTGAAGACAGTCGTAAGGTATTAAACATATTTAAACTACATAAAACTAAAGAAAGGCCAAACAGATATTTGAAGATATTCTGTACATTTGATTCACAACATTTGATTCACAACATTTGATTCACAACATTTGATTCACAACATTTGATTCACAACATTTGATTCACATCATTTGATTCACATCATTTCATTCACAACATTTGATTCACATCATTTGATTCACATCATTTCATTCACAACATTTGATTCACAACATTTGATTCACAACATTTGATTCACAACATTTCATTCACATCATTTGATTCACATCATTTGATTCACAACATTTAATTCACAACATTTGATTCACAACATTTCATTCACATCATTTGATTCACATCATTTGATTCACAACATTTGATTCACAACATTTAATTCACAACATTTGATTCACAACATTACATTCATAGCATTTCTTTTACAGCATCTTTACCCTTGCAGACAGTAAGTCACCGTAATTGGGCTGATAATTAGGGTTCCAACCCACACATCTTAATGCTAAAACGCTTACAGGAAAATGAAAATATTTGTTTATTACACTTAAAAGACTTTTTTCGGTCGAAATATTTGTTCATATAATATGAATGTAAATATTTGAGAATTTGCTAACTGGAAACTAGATTTTTGTCTGGTCGATTATCGATTAGAAATAATAATAATAATTAAAAAAAAAAATGGTCTCGAAAAAGATGGATAAACAATTTCTTCATGAAGAAATTGTTTTTTCTTCATTGCTTCCTTCATGAAGCATATATGCTGTGATGTCTTTTTAACACGAGTAAAAAAAAATAAGAAACTTTACGTAATACATTTTAAATGTACGTAAATTTATACGAAAGCTTCATAGCTGTATATATATATATATATATATATATATATATATATATATATATATATATATATATATATATATATATATATATATATATATATATACTATCTCTAGGTGAACTATATGTTGGAGAGAGGGAGGGTGGAAGGGGTAAATGGAACTGGTGGTGTGACTTTCTCTCTCTCTCTCTCTCTCTCTCTCTCTCTCTCTCTCTCTCTCTCTCTCTCTCTCTCTCTCTCTCTCTCTCTCTCTCTCTCTCTCTCTCTCTCTCTCTCTCTCTCCTCTCCCTCCAGCTAACATAACATAACCGAACTTGACCTCTCCTAACCTAGGTTGAGGTAATCTAACCAAACCTTAGTCAATCTAACCTGTGTTAACCTCATCTAAGGTTACTTAGTTTAACCTCACCTAAATTTACCTCCCTAACCTGACTTGATCTGGCCTGACCTTAGCTGAGTTGAGCTGAGCTGAGCTGAGCTGATCTCACCTTAACCAGCCTCGCCTCAACTGACTGGGGTCATCAGCCCCAAAAATAAAAAAAAAATCCGTTTGTTTGGTTGACGGCGACGTTGACCCATCACTATTTACAGGCAACTTCCTCGTTTTCTCTCTAAACAGCATTCCCGGTACACCAAGCCAGGTGTCGTAGCCCGGTACACCAAGCCAGGTGGCGTAGCCCGGTACACCAAGCCAGGTGGCGTAGCCCGGTACACCAAGCCAGGTGGCGTAGCCCGGTACACCAAGCCAGGTGGCGTAGCCCGGTACACCAAGCCAGGTGACGTACCCCGGTACACCAAGCCAGGTGACGTACCCCGGTACACCAAGGCAACTGACGTACCCCGGTACACCAAGCCAGGTGACGTAGCCCGGTACACCAAGCCAGGTGACGTACCCCGGTACACCAAGCCAGGTGGCGTAGCCCGGTACACCAAGCCAGGTGGCGTAGCCCGGTACACCAAGCCAGGTGACGTACCCGGTACACCAAGCCAGGTGACGTACCCCGGTACACCAAGCCAGGTGACGTACCCCGGTACACCAAGGCAACTGACGTACCCCGGTACACCAAGCCAGGTGACGTACCCCGGTACACCAAGCCAGGTGACGTACCCCGGTACACCAAGGCAACTGACGTACCCCGGTACACCAAGCCAGGTGACGTAGCCCCGGTACACCAAGCCAGCTGACGTACCCCGGTACACCAAGCCAGCTGACGTACCCCGGTACACCAAGCCAGGTGACGTAGCCCCGGTACACCAAGCCAACTGACGTACCCCGGTGGCTCTAAACTCTCCCAAATTTTTAGTGTTAGGCACTTTAAGCATCCCAGCTCCTTGTTCTCGTCGTATTGACCTAAAAAGTTCTTTCTAACGTCTCTTTTTGTGAAGGTGTCGGTGTTGATCCTGGCCTTCATGTCCGTGGAGCGGTGGGTGTGCATCACCTGGCCCCTGGCCGCCCCTAAGCTCTCCCACGAGGGTGCCAAGCTGGCACTCGCCTGCATCTGGGCGCTGGGCATCGTCATCTCCATCATCCCAGGTCAGTCTCCACACCCCCTTGTGGTGGCTCCGCCGGCCTCGATGTAATCTATATATTTTCTTAATGTTTGAATGGATATTATTGTCCTTGAAGTCATACATTGTGTGTGTGTGTTTGTGTGTGTGTGTTTGATATGTCGAAATTGGTTTATGAATACATTCTTTGATTTTAGAAATATTGATTATATATAGATTATTGATCTTTCGCTGGAATTTGACCTTTGACCCTTTGAGCTGAAGCTAAACTAGAAAAGGGAATAGTGATCGAGGGATGGCGAGGACGACAAACATAGACAGTCAAGGGTGTGCAACTGTCAGACATATGGTCTATGGAAGACCTCTGTAAATATTGCGTTAATTTTTGTTTTTATATAATTTAATTAATATAAATTCCTGTGACTTACCGATTCTATGGTGTGTGACATGCGCTGCTGGGGACGTGTGCT